CGCCGTTGCCAAACGAAAAGGACCATAAATCTTCCGCAGAGTTTTCTCTCGAAAACTTGTAACGTCGACTCGTCAAATGTTGTCATTGTTCATGTCTCTGCACCACACAGCAGGACCGTAATAGACTTATAGACTTTTTTCTTCTTCGTCGAAAGATGACTTTACTTCTAATTTTCCAAAGAAGCACCTGTTGGCAAGAGTTATTCTGCATTACATTTCGACGCTGACGTTGTTGTTGGTGTTAATGCTGGTTCCAAGATAGACAAACGACGACTTCGAAGTTATGACTATCAACAGTGACGTGAGAGCCATGTCGCAAGTGCGACGACTGTTTGTTTGATGACACTAGAGATTTCGTCTTGCCCTCGTTCATTGCCAGACCCATTTGCTTTGCTTCCTCGTCCAGTCTGGAGAAAGCAGAACTAAYGGCGCKGGTGTTGAGGCCGATGATATCAATATCATCGGCATACGTCAGCAGCTGTACACTCTTATGCCGATCCTCTTTTCACGAGTCTTTTCCAAAATTTGGGGCATGGTGAAATCTGGTCAGTTGTTGATTTTCTAGGCCTGAAGCCGCACTGTTAAAGTTCTTATATGCTTATCCCACCTTAATTGGCGCAGATTGTGGGTTTTTTGTAGATTAGGTTAAGTAAACTTAAAATCCAATAGTCGGGTATGCTTACATCCGACGCATGCTTAAAAAGTAATCATGTTACTCTGTTATTGTTGTTGTTGTAACGGCAGAATTCTGCCGAGTTGACAATCCTTGGCCGGATAAAAATTCGGGTCCGTTCCGGTTTTCGTAGACCCGACTGTCGTGGGAATCGTTTCTCCTATTGAAAACCGCTGAATATATATTAACTTTTGTTTCTTAAAATAAATAAAATGGAAAAGTTTAATTTAAAAAATTTAATAAAAACTTCACAACCCTGATTTTGAGACATACATATATTAGATGAATTTAAAAGGTTAAAATTATTTAAAATTATAATTATATTTTAACTATTAAGTTTATAAATATGTATCATGCAACTCTTTCCATTACCTGACGTCTCATATGCGCATAGAAAAATTTAGTTTACTTAATTTCAAAACTATTTATTTTCTGCTGTCATCAATCAATATAACAACAATTATAAATTAAGCCTCTGGTTTCTTAAAAATCGGCATTTAAATGTAGCATACCGCTGAATAACTGACATATTACATACAAACGTACATACATAGATTTGTGTTTACATGGCTTAATAAATTTAATATCTGCATATATACATACAATAAACTAAAATAAATATACACACCTCAAGATAATTTCAACTCATACGTCGTGCACTTCTAAAATATATTAGGGTGCGTTGGCAAAAATCATAGATACAAATTAAACAAGAATAACATTTTATAAAAAAAAATTGTAGATAAATTTTGATAATGAATGAAAACAAACCCAAATAAATAATAGGATTTTCCAGAAGAAATTTTATTTAGAATAATTTATGTATGTATGTATATGTTCAAATCTAAACAAAAAAATATTTAGTTCGGCAGTTTTCGCACACACTGTCCATTCGTTCATTGGCCAGCTGAGAAGTTTCATTCACACATTGACCGCTCACATGAAGAACTCGGGAAAAAAGTGCAAAGAAAACAAAATGTGGAAACACACATACTTACTTACATACGTAAGCACTCGCATGTAAACACAAAATATAGTACAATGTAAATCAGCAGTTGTTAAGAGGAAATTGAAAATCAGATGAAAGTCAAAAGCACGTGTGCCACAAGTGCTTTTACAATCGAGTAAAATTGACTTTTAAAAGTCAATTCTGATAGTAATGTTAATAAGCATTATTGCTTAGGACTCAGTCATAAAAAAAAATTTTATGAAATTACTTGAATACAGCTTCAAGCTCCTTTTTTAAAAGAATACAACTTTGTATTTAAAAATTCCCTCCAAATAAGATTTACTTGCCAATTCCAAAAGCTTCAATTCGAGAATTAAAGTGATTACTTTTATTACTTTCTGTGATGTAATCATATCGTAAAATAATTTTTCTCTATAAATTTATTTTTAACGAAGTTAAAAATTTATTTTATAGATTACCAGTGTTAAAGATAATACCAACAAAACTAAAATTTTTAATTATTTTAAGACATACATACTTACATTTTAATGAAAACTTAATCTTATTCACTTTTTATTTATTTTATTTTAGTAATTATTCATATGTAAATACATATATATATAAAGATCTTTCAAAGGATTTTATATGCAGAAGCTTATAAAACTTTGACTGAAAGCTTTGCAGAGTTCGAGGTTTCTTCACTGATTGCTTAAATGTGGGTGTTACCAACAAAATCAGATCTCTATCTTCTATCGAAATATCTCTTTGTCCATAATGCTTATTGATTTTTAATATTATTTACGAAAGATTTATGTTAAACAAATAAAGAATTATCCTTATGCAAGACCAACTATCACTTTCACTTTTACAAAGAAATTTTCTTTTTTTACTTTAATACACTGAGTAATACACACTTAATTGGCATTTGGCTATAAAGCCGGAAAGCACTATTTCTAAAATTATGTTTTTTTTTTTTGTCAGTTTCCTTTGAAAAGCATACCTATAAATCGGCAAGCGTGCAGCGTGAGTTCTTTATATTATAAACATCATCGCTGTTGTAGACGCCATTACAGCATAGTTTTAAGTGACGAAAATTTCTTTTCAGTGTAGAATTCCTCTATTGCGATTTTAGGAAAAATTATACTGTCTTAAATACAATATAGGGGTTGAGTATATAACAAAAAAACAAAAAAAAAACAATAAATAAAAATCCAAAATAATTTAGAAAAAATATTCTACCCTAATGCAAATATAGGCATTGCTAAAATTGTACATTATATTTTTAAATTGTTTATTTTTTGTAAATAATCGACTTTACAGTTTCTATAAAAAAAAAATATTCCAGAAATGAACATTTTAAAAAATGGTTACTGTGATCAATACACGGAATTATTAAAAACTAAATATAAACACACTTTCTATCAGTTTCTCCTATTTATTATAAAGCAGTTTTAATAGACTTCTTCAATTTGTTTAATTGTAGGGGAAGTGCCTTTGCGGTCAGTATATTCGTGCGCGACTGCGGCGAGCTGGCGTGCTAAATCGCAAGGCCACACAACGATTGCGCATCATATTGGAGCCCTCTTCGGCGGTGGTTTACGAAGTGTTCCCAGCATTGAATAGCGTAAACAATTTAATTTTTATATTGAATTTATTTAATTAAATATATAATTTTACATTAATCTTACAGATGGGTGAGGAATTGGAACGAATGCATCCGCGCGTCTACACGAATATCTCACGGCAACTATCGCGTGCACCCTATGGTGAACTCGTCGATGGGGATACTGCCCCTATGTTGCTCAATTTGGTTGCCAAAGATTTGTTTCGTTCGCATATAACGTGGGGTAAAATAATCTCGATATTTGCGGTATGTGGTGGTTTCGCCATCGATTGTGTGCGTCAAGGTCATTACGAGTACCTGCAACTTCTGGTGGACGGTATTGCGGAGATAATTGAGGATGATTTAGTGCCGTGGCTGGTAGATCACGGCGGTTGGTTGGGCTTGCAGCAACATATACGTCCACATGTTGGCCACTTTTCATTCCTAGGCTTGTTGACGCTTTTCGTCGCCGTATCATCGGGTGTTTATGTTGTTACTAATATGGCCAAACATATTGGTTGTCATTTGTATTCTTTGCTATTTTGATAGCAACCGATATGTGGGAATTGTGAAATATATAGAAATAGTTAATATAAAATGTGAAAGGGCTTTAAGTCTTATTTTGTGGCAATAATATTGTAGATAATTGTGCATTTTAATTAATATTTACCATAAAAAAATGCAATAATAATTATATAGAATACTTAGAAAATTGGTATGAGATTGTTGGTTTTTAATTTTTATTTGTTTCAAAACATCTAACGATCTTCTTTTGAAAATAGACGTTAACAGCATTTTTCATATGTAATTTGGACTTATAACTTTAATTAATAGTTAATTTACCTTAATTTAATTATTTACCAAAACACATTTATTTATAGACATTTTATTTCAGAAGAACTAAAAGTGACACTCTTAATCCAAGTAAGGTACGTCTCTAACTATTAATTTTTAATATATGTACGAGTATATTTACATGACACTGACCCATACCAACCTATTTCATATTTGTATTCAAGTAAAATATCTTGTTAATTCATTGTAATGACTTATTTTAGTTTTAAAGAAACATATATCATATCATATACAAATAAATAATAAAACTAAACAAAATAAAAATGCAGTTAATATTCCATATTTAGGCGGTAAATGAAACATATGTAGTTATCTAAGTTACTTCTGCTTTATTGGTTTCAAATTTCATGGAAAAGTCTGTCTTTTTATAATTAATTATTTGTATTTCCGTTCATATTATTATGGCATTTCTATATAAAAAAAACTTGCGGCCGGAACTTGTCTGTGCCTATTCCGGCCATTTATGTGTTTCCATCCTTGCCTAGGGGAGTGCTAACTAGCTCTCCTTTCTAAAGACACAATTTTGAAAATTTATTCCAATGTATTTATTGTCACTACTTTACGAAAAAGCTGTTGAGAATTACAAAGTTTAGACGCAAACGAAAAAATAATACATAGTCTAAACTTATTAAAAACATATATATACACCTAATATAATATTTATACAGTTCTGGTTAGGATATACTTTTTTCCTTGAAACAAATGCTTTGGCAAATATTCAATTCAAAAATGTAAAGCATAAATAAATTAGATATCAGCTAATTATTAAAAGTTGTCGTACGACATTTTAACTTAAACTAGCGCCACCTACCGTCCATTGTACTCACTTCTCAGAGTACGTATATTTATATGTATATTTATAAGTTTTCTGGAAGCACTGTCAAATTTGCCGACAAAGAAGAAGCAGATACCGTCAAGAATTTCAGAATTCAGATCTATCAATTCTCGTCATCAGCGAACGAAATTTTTTGTTTAATCAAGTGCAAAGTATTTTGTAACAATTTAATTTTCAATTAAATTGTGCCAAAGTAGCTTCAGATAAAAAAGTTGTAAGTTGCTAAAAAGCAAAAATGAAGAAATTCAATCAAATGCAGGGAAAAGCATAAAAAACAACCAGGAATGTAGATATGTATGTATGTACATGGACGGCAGCTAGAAAAAGTGATGACGGCGACAATTTCGATTGGTACATTGCAATTGCTCTATCATACCTTCGCCCTTACTTGAAAGCAGTGTTAAAAGTGTCGATGACAAGTTATAAAATTTTGCTTTATTTAAATTTTAGAAAGGGAACTATGCGTGTTCAACGTTTTTATTAAAAACGTTCAAAGTCGGGCACGTTCGTACATACATATGTATATCGAATTTTGACATTTGTATCCGAATGCTTGTGTCGCTTATTAAATAAATAATCAAAATAATAATAAATAACAGCTGACCCATTTCCAGTCTCTAGTGGCATTAATAATTTTTTACGAATATTTTCAGATTTTTCGTTAGTGCTTATTTGTTTATATAATTTTTTATTTGGATAACGTTATAAGCACACATCGAAATGAAAGTTAAAGAGTTGCAGAAGACTGTAAATATTGCGTGGTCACCGTTGCCTCAACATCCCATTTATCTGGCCGCGGGTAGTGCTGCACAACAACTCGATTCGAACGTAAACCCAACATTAGAAATATATTCCACGAATTTCAGTGATCCAAGTTACGACTTGGAATTAAAAGCAAGTCTACCTAGCCAGTACAGGTATATAACAATAATTAATCAAATTTGAATTTATTTGTAACTATTATTTAATCTTTAAGGTTCCAGAAAGTTATTTGGAGTCCTACTGGTTACGATGGCGCTCATTCTAATGGTTTAATTGTAGGCGGTTGTGAAGGTGGTCACGTCATGATTTATTCTGCTGCTAAAATGCTAGCCAATGAAGAAGGTCTTATTGCACGACAAGATAAACATACCGGATCGGTTAGTGGACTTGATGTTAACCCATTTCAAACCAATTTGCTTGCCTCATGCGCCTCTGAGTCGGAAATATTTATTTGGGATCTTAACAACACCACGACGCATATGAATCCAGGCACTAAGACACAGCCACTTGAAGATGTACAAAATGTCGCTTGGAATAGACAAGTGCAACATATATTGGCCTCAGTTTTCAGTTCACGTTGTGTTATTTGGGATTTACGTAAAAGCGAGCAAATCATTAAACTCTCCGACACACAATCGCGCGTTCGCTGGCATGCCATTCAATGGCATCCGGATGTAGCTACACAAGTTTGGCTTGCTTCAGAGGATGATCAAGCGCCTGTTGTGCAATTGTGGGATTTGCGTTACGCCACTGCGCCAGCGAAGACAATGCAAATTCATCAGCGTGGTGTACTTGGTATGTCCTGGTGTCCACGTGATATCGATCTAATGGTATCCTGTGGCAAAGACAACCACATCTATTGCTGGAATCCTAACACCGATATACCCGAAGGCGAAATACTATCAGAAGTAGCTGCAACGGCTACCTGGTATTCGGATGTGCAATGGTGTCCGCGTAATCCGGCGCTGGTCGCTAGTTCAAGTCTTGACGGCAACGTGTCAATTTATTCACTTTTTGGCGGCACACAACAACAAGTGCAAACATCTAATAAAATAGCGGACTCTTTCCCCGGAATGGATCAAATAGCGCAAGCGCCCATACCACAACAATCAACGCAGATAGTGTATCGTGACTTGAAACGTGCACCAAAGTGGATTAAACGGCCTTGCAGCGTTGCATTTGGGGTATATATTATAAATTGCACTTGTGGATTCTAAAAATTATCTACGTAATTTTCTTTTACAGTTCGGCGGTAAGTTAGTGCACTTTAATAGCCAATCGAAACAGGTGCAAGTCTCGCAGGTGGTCACTGAACCGGAATTGGTAGAGCGGGCTAACGCCCTTGAGCGTTCTCTCACTGAAGCAAATTACGTTGATTATTGTCGTGGACGGGCCGATCAAACGTCGGATCAAAATGGACGTTATTTATGGTATTTCATTAAGGCGAACTTCGAACTTAACCCAAAAGAGGAAATGTTGAATTTACTTGGTAAATATGAAATAAAGTATATGATAGCCGAAAAATGTCGAATTTCGAATTTCGTAGGCTTCAACAAACAAGATATAGATGTTAAATTTGCTAAATTTGTAAAAGAAGGTGAGGCGCAACAAAATGAAGTGGATCACGTGACGAATCGGTTAGCGAATCTCTCGCATGTAAGTGTAAATAATTTTTATAGTGGATTAAAAACTTGCCAAAATTTTTATTAAACTTAATAGGGTGCTTAATACTTTTTTTTTTTCAATTAAACTGAACAAAAAAATAAATTTTATCAGTTTTCCTCATTTTTTTTTTTCTTTTTTATACTTTTAATACAAGAAAAATAATACATTCATTGTGTTGCTGTTCTATTCATTATGTACCAAATGTGATAAGAAATCTTAAAGAAATGAAATAGTTGTTAACGCAACATTCACCATCAGTTTTTCTTATCTATTATTCAGCTGAGGCCGTTAGTTGGAGTACCATTATTATGCTATGGTGCCTTTGTTAAGTTTGATCTGTTGCCCGCCAGAGCAACATACACTGCTACTTTTTCGAAGTTAATGTGATAACAATGTGTCTATAATATACTTTATATACTTGTATATGTAATAGTTTTTTACTTATACCCACATACACACATATATTTTCTTATGCAAAACCATAAGTAGTTTAACAGACATAAAAATGCAATTACAATTTTTTGATTCATTGAAATTTTCATTTAATTTATACATATATGTATAATTCAACCAAATTGTTTTTTGCATTTCACTAAATAATTATTAAAATAAATTGGTTTTTGTATTTATTTTTCTCATACGAACTCGCTTTCATTACTTTGCAAATCATTTGTTTGCTTAGAGCGATTCATCGGAAGTTGAGTGTGATCAAAGTACTGATGGCAGTACCGACATATCGGTAAGGTTCTATATTACCAACAAAAACTCGCTAATTTCTTAGTTTATAAAGTTAATTTATATCCAAATGAATGAACTAGTTTTATTTATGTAAAAATATACCTAAATTTCAAATTCGTTACGAAAGAGTTGTTTTTATTATGAAATTGTTTAACTTCAATTTTTTTATTATAATTACTTTTATTCAAAGACTTTTTTTTATAATTTTCTGTTATACTCTGAACAGAGTATATTAAGTTTGTCACGAAGTTTTTAGCAAGCAAAAGGAAATATCGAAGACACCATAAGATATATACATATACATATATAAATGGTAAGCGTGATAAGCTGAGTCCGTTTACTCATGTCTGTCCGTCGCCCTGTATATATGGGAACTGGTCCTCCAGTTTTTCAGATATGATTTGTCATAACCGCCGATATAGGTCCACTATAGCAGATAGTTGCAATAAACTGAACGACTAAGGTCAAGTTATTGTATTGTATGTATGTACGGAAAACTTTTTTATGCGGCGAGATATCTTCAAAGAAAAGCTGTAATCTCCGAACAAACTTTTCAGATCTGATCACTATAGCCATATAGCCGCTATAAAAACTGACTGATAAAAATTTAGTTCTTGTATGAACGCTTTTTTTATTTACAAAACATATAATACCTTCGGTGTAAAAAAAGTCAACCTCTTCTAATTTTTAAATTTTAATTTAGGCCGATTTTACTCCCAAAAATTTGTTATGTTTTAACAAAGCTTGTTATCATTTCATTGAAGATTTTCTGCGCATATCGCTACTCTACATCTCAATATTTCTCGATGTTGTGTGTAAATTGGAAAGCATACCTACTTTAATTTTGTGCTACGTACATATATGCTTATTGTAACTGTGTCTTTTCCATATAAAAAGTAAACATAAAAACAATAAAATATTTGCATAATTTGCAGCAACCAGTGGATAACAATGCAATATTCGACGGCATTGCGGTCACTCAGAAGCAACAACAACTGCAGAAGGAAAATGCAGCAAAACAATTCGACATACCCAAAGGGGAACGTAAGTTTCTAAAATCAACATGTTTATAAGAATTATTTACTTTTCTTCTATAACTGTAGAAAATATTTAATTTTTATGAAACTGCTCTTTAAATCCTCATATTTTCATATAGATCCTGATAGTCTGATCACTGAAGCAATTCTCACTGGTAATATGGAAGCTGCTGCCGAGCTTTGCCTTGAATCGCAACGCATTGCAGAGGCATTAATTGTCGCCTCGACTGCGGGCATTGATTTCCTTACTAAAATTCACAATCGCTACTTGCAGCAGCAACAAAACGAGTTGTCCAATGTGATAAGTGCGCTGGTGACACGTGATTGGTTAGATTTTATCAACCGTTGCACTGTCGAATCATGGAAGGAAGCTTTGGTCGCGGCCCTAAAACATAGCGATCGTAAAGTGGTTGACATTTGCGAACGTCTGGGTGATCGCCTACTGGAGGAGCGTGCGCAAAATATCGATTTCATACGTAATGCTATGTTATGTTACGTCTGTGCTGGTAGTATTGATAAATTAGTGTCCGCTTGGCATCAAATGAAAGCATTGGAGCACCAGAATAATAATTATAAACCGAATACGACTGAATTACAGGAATTAGCCGAAATTGTAATGTTGATGAGCAAATCTTTGGAACAACAAGGAATTGCTTTGGATCTAAGTGGACCAATTGCGGACTTTATTACCGAGTATGGCGGTCTGTTGGTGGCTCAGGGTGCGCTCACAGCCGCTTTAACATATATTTATGCTTTGGGTACGGCCGATGATGAACAAAATGGCGAACTGGTGGAGCTGCGGCAGCGAATATATAATACGGTAAATTATAGATCAACGCCTGCGGCTGCCACTGGACCTCTAGCATATCAACAGCAACCACAACCGCAAAACATATATAGCCGACAACCACAACAGGCACCTGTTCAACGCGGCTCATTTTCGCATGGATTGCCGCAAACACACGCTGGTTATGGCGGCACAAACCAATTCGCAAATAATCAGGCAGGCAATTGGAAGGCATCAGCTTTGCCAACATCTGCCGGAGGCGTCGCTATATCGCAGCAACCCACACTATTTAATCCGATTGCACCCACGCCATCGGCAGCAGTAACAGCCAAACCGCCACTGGCTGTACCCGGACATATCACAAACGATTCATTGAACACACAACCACCACGTCCAGCCAGCAATGCCAGTTCGCAAGGTGGTAGTGGCGCAAATTTACACTCACGATCCAAGTATGTGTTAGATCCGTCGGTGGCTTCCGCCGGTCCCATGGGTAGCTACGGTGGTGGTTATCAACCACAGGTCACTGCACCAGTTTCAGTTCCAGCTGCAATATCTACATTTAATGCAGGTCAATTTAGTGCGCCGTTAGTACCAACTACAGCTCAACCAAGTCTTTTGCAACCGGCTGCACCATTTAATATGGGTGGTGCACCTGTGCCGTATGGCTTAACTGGCAGCAACAACTACGCTGGTGGTCTGACATCAGATATTAGCAATCAACAGCAACAGCCACCACCACCACCAACCCATAGTTTACCGCGCAGCCGCACACCACCACCCGGCTGGAATGATCCGCCAGCATTGAAGTCAACACGTGCGGTAAGATTAATTGATTTTTTACCTTATACATATGTGTGTACTACTTAGCAACGCTCAAAATATTATTGTTTAAATGTTGCTATAACATTCGAAAAACTATGTTTTCAATTTGGTGATCAAGTTCTCTCGCTTAGATTTTGCAAAATTGTAGAAATGAAATGTCTGCACGCCACGCAGGCACCCGCCGTTGGCAGAAAATCATAAATCACGAAAAGGATGATTCAAAAATGCTTTTGAAACCACCTTCACAATTTAGTTTTGAACAATTTTGTGCAAATGATTCGCACTCAAGCGCCTTGTACACACAAAATTTCTGGCAGGTATTAAGCGCATTCCGTAAACTTTAAATTTTTGAATTTCCATTGCTATAACACATGAGCTAGAGCGTACAGTTCAGATCCCTTTTCGAATTTAAACGTATGTATATATGGAATGCCTTTTGTTTGTGGTTAATAGTTTAGCAAATATTTGTCGCTTTTTTTTTTTTTTKCTTTTCCTCAAGGTTAATAACCTATTTGATTGTGTGATTCAACAAACAAAAGTTCAAAAACAATTCATTATTGCCATGACACCACTTGCATTGCTGTCCTGCTAAATAACGAATTTATTTCCAATAAAGTTTCTGATGTACGTTTTCCCACCTTTAACCAAATATCAATTACAATATTAAATTTCGAGTTGTTTTTATGTTTTTTTTAATTAACACCTTACACCCTATTTAAACTGTCCCATTGAAAACACTGTCTTTCCTTCCAACAGCCCAAAAAACCGGAGGCTGCACCCACATCGGCGCCCATAACGCATCCCTTATTCGGCGTTGATCCAAATCAAAATCAAAACGGTTATGCGGATCCATATACGCAGTATCAGGTAACTATATAATAAAAATGTTTGATATTTTTTAAATTTTTCGTTTCATATATATTTAATTTAAGAATCCCGGTATGCCACCACCACCAACCGCCAACAGCAATATCCCAACTAACTTACAACCCAATGACCCAGTTGGCTACTATAATCCAGCATTGCCGCAAAATAATAATTTGCCAACACAGCAATTTCCATCACAACTCAGCTTCCAAACATCAGCCATACCGCAGCAACAGCAACAGCCATGGATTACGCAGTCACAAAATGTGGGATACACCGAGCAGCCGGCGCCAGTGCAACGACAACCGGAACCCGTAAAAGAGAAACCGCCACTACCGGAGGAATACATTTACCTACAAACAGTGTTGGAAGAGTTAAAGAATCAATGCTTGACTGTATCGGCCGATCCGGTGAGTTGTTTTTTATTAATACCTTAATGATTCAATTTGTATGCTTCTTTTGTATAATAAATGGTCAATTATTACTTTTCCAGCGCACCAAACGTAAATTTGTAGATGTTACCAAACGTTTGGATAATCTTTATGACTGTTTACGTGATGGCAGAGTATGTATAAATATTGCTTTAAACAGATTTTAAAATTATATTTAATTTTTCACTCTCTTAGCTTCACTCTGCCACGATCGCAGCTCTTAATCAAATCGTACAGTTCGTCCAAGTAGGTGATTATGCCAATGCCTTACAAACGCATACCCAAATTGCATTCGGCTCCGACTTTTCACAATGTGCTGGCTTTATGCCAGGTCTAAAGGTGCTTGTACAATCGGCTGCTGATTTACAGGTTTATCTGCGTTAAGTTGCAAAAACTATAGAAAGAGTCTAAAATGGGTTATGTGTCGTTAGAAATTGAAATAATTCCATTTTTATCATAGCTGTTGTGTTCCATGAATTCTATCCTCATATGTATTCTTTTCGTTATTAACATTAATTGAAAAATTAAAAAAAAAAAAACGTCGCGCTTAAAGATTGCATAGTGGTAAATATTTTTTAATTCGATAAATAATTTTTTGTCTAATTTAACCTTTACGTATTTACAATATAATTACTTACTTTGTATATGTTTTTTCTTTAAAGTGTACTTTATTTAAAAAAAAAATTAAAATAACAAAAATTACGACAGACTAATAAAAATACGCATTTCTTCTTCTCAATTGGCGTAGACACCGCTTACGCGATTATAGACGAGTTAAAAACAGCGTGCCAGTCGTTTCTTCTTTTCGCTACGTGGCGCCAATTGGATATTCCAAGCGCAGCGAGGTCCTTCTCCACCTTGTCCTTCCAACGGAGTGGATTTCTTCCTCCGCTTCCTCCGACGGGTACAGCGTCGAATAATTTCAGAGCTGGAGTGTTTTCGTCCATCCGGTCAACATGACCTAGCCAGCGTAGCCGCTGTCTTTTATTTCGCTGAACTATGTCAATGTCGTCATATATCTCATACAGCTCATTGTTCCATCGAATGCGATATTCGCCGTGGCCAACGCCAAGGGCCGTAAATCTTTCGCAGAACTTTTCCCACTTACTCTTAGAAAGATTGTACCTGCTCGATTAAGTTCTGCAGATCGAATTATTTTCTCCAGCAGCAGGTTGAAGATGTCGCACAATAGGGAGTCGCCTATTCCAATTCCCACGACAACCGGTTCTACGTACCGGAATTGGATCGGTGAGTGTAATTTGTTAGTAGGGAGTCGCCTTGTCAGAAACCTCGTTTGGTATCGAACGGCTCGGAGAGGTCCTTCCCGATCGATACGGGGATACCAAACTCCGACAACGCGTTGTTGTTGTTGTAACGGCAGAATTCTGCCGAGTTGACAGTCCTTGGCCGGRTAAAAATCCGGGTCCGTTCCGGTTTTCGTAGACCCGACTGTCGTGGGAACGGTCCGACAACGCGTCATAGAGGCTGCTCCTTTTCGTGCTGTCGAAGGCAGCTTTGAAATCGACGAAGAATCCTTTCACTGGTATTTTCCAAGATTTGGCGCATGCTGAATATCTGGTCGGTTGTTTATTTTCCAGGTCTAAAGCCACACTGATAAGGTCCAATCAGTTTGTTGATGGTGGGCTTTAATCTTTCACACAATACGCTCGAAAGAACCTTAAACGCGATGTTAACGAGGCTTATCCCACGGTAGTTGGCGCAGATTGTGGGGTCTCCTTTTTTGTGGATTGGGCATAGCACACTTAAATTCCGATCGCTGGGCATGCTTTCGTCCGACCATATTTTACAAAGAAGCAGATGCATGCTCCTTATCAGTTCTCCTTCTTGAATAGCTCGGCCGGCAATCCATCGGCCCCGCCGCTTTGTTGTTCTTCAGGCGGGTAATTGCTATTCGAACTTCTTCCTGGTTGGGCAATGGAACGTCTGCTTCATCGTCATCGATTGGGGAATCGAGTTCGCCTTCTCCTGGCGTTGTGCGTTCACTGCCATTCAGCTGGCTAGAGAAGTGTTCCTTCCATAATTTAAGTATGCTCTGGGCACCAGATCACCTTTGGGGGTTCTACAAGAGTATGCTCCCGTCTTGAAACCTTCTGTAAGCCGCCGCATTTTTTCGTAGAAT